AAACGTGACAAAAGCAAGACAACGCTAAAAGATAAAAGCAAAGTGACATATGAAACGATAATAATAGTAAAAAATCAAGAACATCGGGACGATTTTTCGGCACTCAAAGAGACCTAGGCTGGATTTCTTTGGAGGGTGGAATGTTAGAGATGGACAATATTTAGAATCATTAAATTTGTTTTTTATATACATTCATACATTAATTTGTTTTTTTATTTTTAAATTAACCATATTTAGATATTGTCCATCTCTAACATTCCACCCTCCAAAGAAATCCAGCCTAGGTCTCTTTGAGTGCCGAAAAATCGTCCCGATGTTCTTGATTTTTTACTATTATTATCGTTTCATATGTCACTTTGCTTTTATCTTTTAGCGTTGTCTTGCTTTTGTCGCGTTTTATCGTTGGCTTGTTTTCACCTCGTTGGTTTGTTATTAACGTTTCGTCTCTTTGCTTATTTGTTTTTGTTCACCTTCCATAGTCATTATTATCATTTTTTTTTATTATTATTTTTCAAATCATTATCATTATTATTAGTTAATCAAGAATAATTAGGAATTATAAGAATAGATCCAATTGAACATAAGAATCGATCCAATTGAATATAATCATCATTTAGAAAATAATATTGAATTTGTAAGAATGTATAAAGAATCGCGTTTTAATGTTTTTGTTTGTGTCGCGTTTTATACAATATTTTATATTATTTTTTTGCGTTTTATTATCGTTTTTTTTATTTTTATTTATAATGTTTTATATCATTTTTTTTTTATTTATATATTTTTTGTTTATTTTTATTTTAGTTTTATATAGTTTTTTTTATATTTATTTTTTTTTTTGTTTATTTTTATATGTCAAAAAATAATTTTCCATTGATAAAGTCAAAATTAAAGATTTAAATGAGATATATTATTAATCATATCTTTTTTTATAACTTCTCCCTCCTTAAAACTTTAAGAGATTTTTAATTTAAATCCTTTCATCTTAAGTATAAATAAGATTTCACAGTTCCTACAATTACTTTTTTTACTATAAATCGTGGATTCTATTTTATTTAAAGTTTTCCATATAGAGATTTCATCTATTTCATTTGTGTTACTTGTTATATTTGTATCATCAGAGTTTTCTTTATTTAAAATTTCATAGTTATTAAAGTCATTATACTGAAAATTTTCATTAGTTGACATTTCATTGTCTTTATAATCATCACAATAATTATTTTCACATTTTGAATTTATTATAAGAGTTTCTTTAATTTTAATGTTTTCTCTAATATTAGTATCATCGACTTTTATAGACATTTCATTGTCTTTATAATCATCACAATAATTATTTTCACATTTTGAATTTATTATAAGAGTTTCTTTAATTTTAATGTTTTCTCTAATATTAGTATCATTGACTTTTATATTTGCTCTTACTTTATAGTTACATAATAATTTCAATATTGTAATAGCTTCCTCAAAAGTTGAATCTCTGTCTCTTGGTTCAAATGCCTTCATCTTTACATATAGATGATCAAGCAGTTTATAAATTAATATTCTGCTGCTATTTCTAACTTCATTAATTAAAAAAAAATTTTCTACTTCGTCAATATAATTACTTATATTGTCTTCACTCCAAATAGGATAATTCATATTAATTAAATTTTAATTTATTTCAAAAAAAAATTTAAGTTCATCAAATATGTACTTTATTTTATAATTATTTTTATTTGTGCTTATAATTATATCATTTTTTTTATTTTATTTCGAATGGTTTCATTGCTAATTTGTAATTTCTTACATGATATCCAATAAAATTTATAATCTTTCAGAATTATGATATGTAACTTGATATTTATTTCATTTAGAGTAATCCAATGTTCATTTCCATTATACATGATAGCTCCGTAGTTTGATGTCTAGCTTAACAATTCTCCTCATAGTTGATTGATCCATTTGATCTAATTTATATTTTATTTTTTGAAAATAAATTAATTTAATTTGAAATCGTATATCCCTCCGCTGCCACAAATTTGTTTTTTATATACATTCATACATTAATTTGTTTTTTTATTTTTAAATTAACCATATTTAGTATTAACATTTTTAGGTTAATTGATTGTGAATTGATATAAATACATGTTAGAAAAATATAAAATTTACTAATAAAGTATTATGTGATAAAATATTTAAAACTTATTTGTTGCCTTCCATTAAACTTTCCATAAAACTTTTATGGTGGCAGCGGTGGGATATGTTAGAGATGGACAATATTTAGAATCATTAAATTTGTTTTATATATACATTCATACATTAATTTGTTATTATTATTAAATTAACCATTTTTAGCATTAACATTTTTAGGTTAATTGATTGTGAATTGATATAAATACATGTTAGAAAAATATAAAATTGAGTAGTAAAGTATTATGTGATAAAATATTTAAAACTTATTTGTTGCCTTCCATCAAACTTTCAATTAATATTAAATTTTTATGAATTTCTTATATGCATTTACAATCTTTAAATTGTTTGAGCTGGCTATTGACATTTCTACCTTTATTATCAACAAAGTTAAATTATTTTAAATCCATAAGCCATATGAGTAAGCTCCACAACTCAGTATAAATATATTTAAATAATCTACCACTCTAATAATTTATTTTGGAAAATTATATGAATATTTTATTTTAAAAAAATACTTGTAGATTTTAATAAAATATTAAAAACACAAAAACATATAATATTAATTTTTCTTTTAGTGTGCTTCAACTTTTTACTTTAATTTTTTATAATTAAATTACATAAAAAATACATAGAAGTTATAAATAGTTTTGTTAAATAGTCAAATTCTTACGATTCGGAAGTCAAATCATAGTGGTAAAAAGGCTCCGATTCAAGCCGCTCAAAGAGCCTGATGAACCGACTCGATTAGTTGGCTCACTTAGTTGGCTCACTTAATTGGCTCACTTAGTTGGCTCACTTAATGGCTTGCTTAGTCAGCTCCCTTAGTTAGCTTGCTTAGTTAACGTGCTACAGCTCAATTATTTTATTTATTTATAAGTTAATTATATTATAATTATTGATATTTTATTTTTTTACGTATATTTTGTAAAACGGTTCCATTTCAGTCCATTTTAAACAGCTAACTCAATATTTTATCTAAAAATATTACACAAGCTTGAGAATTTTGCTCATAGATGACAGATAGGTTTGGATATGAAATTTCAAGGCATGGGCAATATTTTTTTGGCTAAAATATATGAGTTAGCTGTTTTTGAATATAGGTTGAAATCAACCTATTTATTTAACCACAATAGTAATTTTATATATATATATAGTTTTTTTTAGTTTATTTTCTTGAATTGGTTTTTAGTGCTTTTAAACGGTTGATTTCTAATAAAAAATCGGCTCCGACTTGAAGCGCAATACCTATTGCTGTTTAAATAAGTAATTTATATATTTTTATTTTGTAGTTAGCTTATACTTTTGTGCAATATTAATAAAAAAAATGGCCTGTAGATTGTAGATTGCCTAATTTTGGATTACTGATTACTGTGAACTTGGTTTAGTTATATAAAAAAAATATTAAAAGATATTATTTCCATTTTATTTTGAGAATATTTATGTCGAAATTAAAAGGAGTTCTGGACCAGAATTAGTGTTCAGGAATATTAAACTCTATTTAGATGGAATTTTGATTATATAAATTTAATCGAAACGAACACTGATTTTATAAAAGAGTTTGGAACCATCCCCAAATCCAGACGCTGATTTCCATAAGCTTAGGGAATTTGTTTGTCTGATATCTGATTGTCCTTTTTTCCTATAAATATTTTTCCCAATTAACGAAACCTGCGCACCAATGTAAATAGCAACATTTAAACAATTCGCTACTAATTGAACTCGGTCTGTCAATGTTACTAGTCAAATCATCGGATCCAGATACCTCCTTAACATAATTTAAAGATCTACTTGTTGTAATAGCTTAGCTTGTTGCATTTAAAACAAATCTCCTTAAAAGCAGGCAATCTATCATTTATCTCATGTATTCTGTCACAATATAGACATCTGTTTCCCCCTTTTTTATTATATAATTTTATTTTTCTCAAAGCTATTATTATTGTATGTAATATCTTGGTGTAAAAATATCATAATTATTATATTTTTTTAGTAGAATGATTATTACTGCTTTTATTGTTTTGATACTTTGGCGAATTTTGTGTCTACTTCCTTATAATTTATTTATCTGCTTGGTCTGACACATGCTCAAGATTGAGTATAAATTAGAATGAAAAGTCTTTCTCTTCTTTGTCTACAACCTCTGGGTGTTGTGGTGCCCGAAGATCCTTTCGGTATTAAGTTAATCTATGCCAAACATAAATTTATCATTTAATTGCCAACAACATTGATATCCTTACCATAATTACATTAGGCCCCCAATGAAATCAGTTTATTAATGAATTCCATCAAGGTCTATAACTTTATTTTTTATAAATTAATTTATATATTCTGTTATTTAAAAAAAATAATATTTATTAAATTATAAAAGTCTAGTAATATTTGCCAAATAACTAAATTGACTAATATTGGAAATAGACAAATAACTCTCCAAAACTTATATACCCCCTCAAAAATAAAATACGACCCAGATTTTGAGTTAAGATTTTGCAGTCAAATATTATCTATTTTTGAAATATAAAGATTAACATAAATTAAGACTTTTATTACCTGAAATTAACAGTGTGGGCACTTAAATACTATTCCGATCGGATCAGATATTTAAAATTTAAAATATCCCTCAGTAAATGATCTAAAATTAGATTCCGATCCCCATATATTCCATATTACATATTTATTCAATATATATAATATAAAATATGTAATTAGTTGTTAGTCTTAGTATAATATATTTTCGGGATTCGCAAATATTACAATTTTAGATAATTTTTTTAGACCAAAATACTCAGCCAATATAACACGTTCTTTATTATGTTTGTGGTAGTGCGGTTTATTTAAAAATAATAAACTCGATGAAAATTCCAGTTTTTATTACAGGTAAAATTATATATATATTCCACTTATAATTTTATGCTAAGCCATTGTATTTGGATGTATCCACAGGTTATTAATATTTTACTTTAACCATATTTTTCTATATAGCTATTACATATATACGTTATTTGAAAATGATCGGCATTTTTCTCATTTATCAAATCTGGAAAGAGAATTGTCATTTAGAAGTGAAATGGTAACATATAGATATATAGGATAAGTATTTAGTTATATTAGGGTCTTTATTATTCTTATTACAAACAATTGGTACATGCACCTTCATATAATGTTGGTCTCAAACTACTTTTAAATGATAAATTAACTGAATATCCGAACAAAATTAATATTATCAAAAAATTTAATATATATCCAGAAGTATGCCTTATATATATTATATTAAATTTTATCGCATACAGTTTTAAACATAATATAATAGTTGTTTTTATTTTATGCCTATCACTTTCAAATAAATTAACATGTATGAGACATCCAAGATATTTCAATTTTGTTAAAATATGGTGCCTTAGCAAAATCATTTTATATGCCTTTTAAGCATAGAATGAGTTTTGGGTGTATCGTTTTTTATATCATACAGTTTTACAGTTCCTGAGATTTATTATTTGGTTCTTATAAATATATATTTGCTTTTTCTTGATTGACTGAAAAAAATGAATGGTTTTGAATTCTTATATATAATGTTAAAGTTTAGATTTTTTTAATAGTTTGATATATTAAATTAAAAATATGGTTCAACTCATTGTGTATTAAACAGATCCAAATCTATCAACATGCTATCTTAATTTAATTAAAATTTTATTAAAAATAATTTATGTTATATATAAATCTATGTTCTTAAAACTGGATTTTTTCATTAATAACAAGTTATTTAAATTAGAAAGGATAGGGAAGTATTAATAAAAAGTATTTTAGAGTTTATTTCCAATAAAATCCATTATCAATTTTATATGATTTATAGTTCTTAGTTTTAACATTCTTTAAGGTGGATTTGTTAATAAAAAGAATCAAAAAAATTATAAAATTTAAGTGCACAATAAATAGCCATCTAAAATAAATCAAACATTTTGAACTATATGCCATTAAAATAATTGTTCTTTTGTGAAAATCTGTTCTTGTAAATAATGAAATCTAGTTCTTATCACTTTTTAAAGAAGCAATATCTGATTTAAATTTTTATATTTATCCCGGTTCAAAGAATTTTGGATTTAGATTCCAGTTCCAAACTTGCTTTATATTATATAAAGGGAATTGAGCTACAATAATCTTCTTTTTTTTAAACATTATGTTTAATATAATTTTTTTAAAATTGTTATATTTCCATTTAAAATAAATATTTTTTGTACCTTGCTTATTTTCTATAATTGTTACTTAGTTCGGTAATTATAGCTAAAAATTGCTACAGGTGCTAGCTAAATTTATTAAACATTGAGGCACAAATTAATATTTTTGCTCTCTTCAATACTAATCTATATTTTCAACAGCAAAAAAGCCAAGTCTAAGGCCTTTTAGTCTATAATATAGAGATCATACTTACACATTTTATTACTTAGAGTCTCATAAATCTGCCTGAATAAATATTGATCAGGCTATTCTCAAGATTAAAAATTAGATTTTTAAAAATTTTAATTTACAGGTTACATTTATTGTGTTCTATTCTGTCCAAATAGTAATAACTTATATCCTTTTTCTTTTATTTAAAAAAAACTATTACATGGTATCAAGATTGTAAATCTCTTTCATTAATTGGGAACATGATAGTTTTGACATTTTTTTTGAAATGTTAAAGCCTTCACATTCAATTTTTTTTAAAAAAATACTCTATATTTGCTATCTGTTTATATTGTTTTAAAGATTTTGCCAAAGGAAGACATAATCTAATTTTCACAATTGTTTCATTATAATTTTCAAATATAAATTTGGCTTTAAATTTTTTTTTAAAAAACACATTTTTATAAATTTATTCTTCCATTTTGAAAAAATACTGAATAGAATTATAATTTTGAAAAAATACTTTATAAATAAAGGACCTTTTATATTAAGATGTTAGACGCATTTAATTTAAATATATTTTGACATTAATTATATTTTTTAAAAAAACGTCCGTCTTTTTTGAAGAACTGCTTCGCTTTTCTTTAGGCTGCATTTATAGTGGGATCCGATCCACCACGATTTAACAGCTGATCGATTTTAAAAATCTGTTTTATGTGATGAATTTTTATTTATTAATATTAATTTTATCATTAATTCAATTCATAATAATATAAGAATTAATGATTTTAATATAAAAAAAATTGATCTTATAAATAGATTTTTAAAATCGATCAGCTGTTAAATCATGTCGAATCTGATCCCACTATGAATTCGGTCTAGACTATATATTGGACAGTACACTTCCCAAATGACGTTATACCTATGATGAAAGGCTTACCAAGGAAATTATATCTTTGATGAAAACGCATCTGTCCTGATTTTTACATTCCTTTTCCGGGTGGGAATTATTTTATTGAGATCATAAGTCTAGACAAGCCCCTTGATTTATAAGGCTTCTCATTCTAAATGAAAATTAGAATAAACCAATTTAGTTCAAGGATGTAAACCCGAACCCTCATGTTTTTTTCTAAATCCTCATGTTTTTGATGAACCCAAACCATCAGAACTCTCATGTTTTTTTCTAATCCCATAACCTTTTGAAAAGTTAAGGACTCAAGGGATCAAAATTAATTACAATTTATTAAAATAATACATGTAAAAAAAAATTGATAAAAAGAAATTTTTTCGTTGGCATTTCTCCGAGTTGTTAGCGCAACTTTTCTTTAGTAACGTAGTTAACGCTTTTTTAAAAAAATAAATAGAGGTAGCTGTAGTCTGCTCTTTTTTACGTTACTTAGCTACTTCAAAATTTTATATAATAATTAAAAAAAATACTAAAATTAATAATGATTATATTTCAAAAAAAAATACATTATAAATCGAATTTATCAGGTTATTTAAAATATAAAATGCCGTCAATAGAGATAGACATGGAAGATACTTTTGAGATAGTCGATAACTGTTTTATATATCAATTGATAATCAAATGAAAACTAAAGTTACTTAAAATATTTAATATAAAAATAATTACAATGTATTTAACTAATTTAATAAACTAAACATATCATATTTTAATTAAAAACATTAAAAATAAAATTATTTTAAAAAATCTTATATCAAAATTAATAAGTTAACAAAAGTTTAAAAAATTCCTTTCTAACAAAATAATCATTCTTTATATAAAGAAACAAAAACCGTCTATGAATAATAATTCTTATAATTTGCCCACGAATAACTCCCTATTGAATAATATAAATAGAAATTATAAATTATAATACTCAAAATAAATATGCAAATTCTATACAAAATTTTATTCATCGATCACATCAATAACCACAAAATTTCACTGAAAAATGATATTATGGAATTACCTTTCCATAAATTTGCAAAATGAACTTAATAAAAAAAAATTAATTTAGGATTGAATATTAGATTCACAAAATAGCGTAGGACAATATCGTTCAATAAATCAAGCAACTTCGTAAATATATTAATCATAATTTTAATAAAATAATTATCTACAAATTTAGAATGTCCACACCTAAAATTTCAGAGATTGAAAGATATTCTGATAATATTGGCGTACTGCAAGAGGCTTCCAATAAATCAAATTTAATCTAAACTGAATTGATTAATCTTAAATCAGAACCAGGGGTTTAAAAATTAGCTGATAAAGTCATAATAATTTTATAATTGATATAGTTCAGCCAATTTCTTGGGCATGATATATATATCAATCTGTTTACATTCATTTTGAATATTTTTGATAATTTTTCTTATATAAAAAGTTTAAAAAATTAAATACTACAATACCCTCATGTGTTACAACATTTATTTAGTAAGGCGAAACTTTTCTCCTCTAGACTTAGAGATATTTATTAAAATGTTAATTTTATGGACAGAAATTAGATATATAAGAAAGAAATATTGATAACGCGCTCCTTTCAAAAGTGTCGTTCTACAACGCTGAATTTATTTAACATTTTTCAAAATTTCAAATTTTTGCCTACATTTTGTAGGTAGTTTATTATAAATGATAATGTCATATTCTAATATAATAAGAATACTTTGCTTATCTGTTTTTATATCAATTTTAAGTAAGTAAAATATTGAGACAAAATCATGCAATAAAGAAAAGAAAATAAAATCTAGATATTCAATTTTATTTTAATTAAAATACGAGCAATTAATGTATATAAATCTTGTCAATAAATTTAGGTTAGCTTAGAACGTGTGCCTTTTCTATATTTTGAAATGCATACTGTAAGATTCGCGCGGAAATATTAACAAGGAATATTTTGGAACAAATTATTGTTCTATCGAATAAAACATTTAAAATATAAATTAATTATGTTTATGGAAATATATGGACTGGAATAAATAAATAAATTTTTTAAATATTATTTTATGCTCTTCAAACCCTGAATCCAAATTTTTTTTTTGTCGAAGGTTTCACTCCCCGATTTACTTCGCTTGAAAATATAATTTTATTATTGTGTTTTAATTGATCAGTTTTTAGCCGTTTTACCCGGGCTGCTAAAAAAATGGCCAAGCCAGTTTTTAGTCTGTAACTACTACCTTAACCACTTTTTTTGTTCTTAAAAAAATATAAATCAAACTTTGAAGAATATACAAATAAATTATCTAACACCTTATTGCTTACTTTCATTAATAGCAAAAAGAAACACTTTATCTGTAAATTTTTTAAAAATATTTTAAGGTTATTTCGGCTTTGCTATATCGAATATTCAATCATACCATCAACAATTATTTTAATACCAACCTTATAGAGTGCTGGGCTATATCTCGCGGCCAACACGCATCGGTGGAAAGTTGCGTGGGTAAAAAAATTCCAATTATTTTCAAATCGCAAAAAATGGCTAGATTAAATTTTAATATTTTAAAATATAACAAAAAAAAAGGTTTTGGTGAGCCCATCTATTTTTACGTTTATACCGTATGCGGGATGGTTGCCATAACTACATTTTCCTTATTCTTATGCGGATATTTACTCAGGTTTTCGTTATTTTATTTTTTTTGTTTGAAGTTTATTAGAAAAAATGTTAAATTAAATATGCCTTTTTTATATTATTATCGATTTATAAATAATAATATATTTATATATATATAATACCTTGTCTGTTTAAATATTAAAATATATTTTTCTTAAAAGTTGCATATCTTGTTACAAATAATCTTGGAGCTAGCCCCCCTCCCCGAGCTTTTTAGTCCTTTTAAACCTAGATTTCATTTCGTCTTTTTTTATTGAATCAGCTGATTTTAAAAATATATAACTTTTTCCCGCCTTGAAAATATTGTAATTTTCTATTATGTTGGAAAAAAACTGCGGTTAAAGGGGAGCTAATGGCTTCCTATTCTGGCGGGCAATTAGTGTTATTAAAAGGCTCGATTTGAGCTGCTTTTTAAATACGTGTAACTCAATATTTTATCCAGATATATATTACGCAAGCCTGAGGTTTTGCTTGGCCTAAAGGTTTGCATATCTATGAACGAAATATCGAGTTTAGTCAATATTTTCCTGACTAAAATATTGAGTTAGCCGTTTTTAAAAATCAGCTCCTATATTTAAACATTTTTTTATAAAAAATTATATATATATATATAATTAGCGATTCTTTCATTGGTAGCATAATGGTCGTGTGCGCCTTTTTTTACAATCATTCCGAAGTAAAATACAAAAATATAATTATATTTCTGTCATTACAAATTTTTTTTATAACTTATAAATGATTTATATCCAGGCAACAAGGGTTATGTGGACCATACCTCTAAGGGAAAGCTTTGGGTATCCTTTGTTTATCTTGCAGAGTTTACTCGTCACCCAAGTTTTAAAGTTTTTATTTTATGTAAAAAAGGCGAAATTTTTGATTAATTATAAAATATCATAGAACTAGAGATAAAGCTATTTCCAAGCGGAAGCCATTATTTCTGATGACAACTCTTTCGACTTTCGCTTTTCTCCTCACATGGCAAGTATAAACAATTTTATATTCTCTAAATATTGTATTCTTTTTTTATCAATTAGAACCTGGGCTAAGAAAAAATATGGGGGTTCCTCTTTCGGACTTTATTTTTTCACAAAGCGGTTTTGTTTCCGGTATTTATATTTGACGGGTTTTCTTTTAATTAATATAATGTAGGAAAAAAAAATTAAACATTAAGTAAACCCTCTAAAATGAATAGGCCATAATTTCGAACAAATTACATACATAAATTAGTTTTTCCCTTGTTTGGGCCTGTTTCCTATTTCTGAAAATTTTTTCTGGTTCCGGTTCTTCTATACGACTCTAGTATGGGTTCCACCCAAGCTCGACTTCCTACGAAGTTGGACTCGAGTTTAAAACTATTTCGGGCATTACTCAAGCCGATGAACTTGCAAATGCTTTATCGTATTATACTTCTTTCTTCATTTTTTTTAGTTTGGTCCTTTTATCCTTTTTACACAAGTATCCAGTCTATTCGCGCTGAACATCGTATGCGCTAACAAATATCGTAACTTGAACTCGACTTTATATGGGCTAGTGGTTGTTCATTTCGTAATTATTCAATAAAATATATTATTTTTGTATCAATTTTTAAAATAATATATTATTTCTTTTTTTGATACGAGAATAAGTTGGGTAAAGGGATCCCTTTTTTTTCTTAATTCGATATTCAAATAACTTTTTAAGTAATACTTCTAGCTATTATTTAAATAAAAAATTTCCACGACATATTAACTTAAAAAAACTTATCTCATTTTTATCTAAAATCCTCCCTTTCTTCGGAATTATTTTTTTTCCTTCAAAAATGAATGCACGTCAATTTTTTCCCTAAACCCGAAAAGTTTTGTTGATAGAGAGCGATGGAAATTTGATGAAGCTTTAAGAAAGGATTCAAATAGTATTTACTAAAAAAGGGTCGATTTCTTTAGAGATCCATAAAAATGTCATAGTATAGTACATAAAAATAGAGAAAAAACTAAACCCTTATATAATTATTTGGAGGGGGGTGGGGTGGTAAATGAAGTTTTTAAATTAGGTAAAATGGTAGATGGACAAAATATATAAAGATCTCTTTCAGAACGATTAAATTTTAAGACCTCATCAAAAAGGTAAATTTTTTAACAAATTCATCTCTAAAATTGATTGTAAATGAAATCCATGAATTTAAAAATTGTTGATGTTTAATTCATCACATTTATTCCATCATTTGCATGAGGTGTTAAAATATTTAGAAAGTTTCGGTGGTATCTCTTTTGACCATATTGTATATTTTACAAATGATTGAAGCTTTGTAAACTGCTTTAAAAAAATAAATAATTTTTATAGGCTTCTTTGTTACTCGCCTGGATCTTCTTATTTTTCAATAACGCAATAATTACATCCTTATACCTTTGTGCCATTATCTCAATGTTGGTATGAAAATTAATTTTATTTAAAAAAATGGAACTTTTAAAATCTATTGTTTTAGATATGCCTATTTTGCCAAAATTGTTTTACTGACCACAAGGAAAGTAGTCTACCAGGTGCAAAACATATTCCTCAATCATTGGTGCAAATGATCGGCCGCATGGTAATGTAATATTTAATTCTTATCCCTTTTTTAAAAATAAAATAAAATATTTATAAATAGATTATTTTCGGTTTGGTCTATTGTGCGATAGTTATTATCATCAAATACTCACTAAACTTTACATTCAGATACAAAGACGACGTAAAACTTTAAATATAAATTATATTCGATAAATCTACGCATCGGATCCTTTTTTTTCATGATCCTGTTCGATCAGATAAAGATTTTGAAAAAAATTATTCCATCGGTCCGATTCAGTTATTATTCAAAGAACTGTATACCTCTTATTTTAGATATAATTAAAGAAAATTATTGGATTGATTAGAAAAAAAAGGCACGATTTTTTTAGGAAGTCTGTAAAAATTTATGAGCGCTAGAGGAAAATAAAATTTTTGTCGTTTTTATTTTCCAAAAGAAATGTTATTTTTTTTAAAATATCAAGTAGTGGTGTTAAAAAACCCGATTCGGGTCGATTTTAAAAAACGGCCCTATTAAGATTATAACCAAAATAACATGTAAGTCTAAAGATTTCGCTCATATCTGGCAGAAATGCTTGTTGGACATTTGCCAAATCTCGACATAATATATTTTAGCTAAAATCCTAATCGGTTCTTTTTAAAAATTGACCTAAATCGGGCTTCTTAATTAATATGAAGGTCTGGCCCGGCTAAGTTTTATTCGATGATTATATTGATAACAATTAACCCGGATTTTTTCCCTTCTAATTAATGAGGAGTGTTTTGACATAAAGAGAAGAATACAAAACCTATCTAATTTTTTATTTTTCAGGATGGGACGCTTGGGATGGACATTTAATTTTTTCTATCTGGCATGTGATTTCGTTTTCGCAACTGTTTAAAAATGGCAATTTTATTTTTAAAAAAATTTAGAATTATCCTTCTTTTATTATTATTTTTCAAAACAAAATATTTTCAAGAGGTTCGGCATTCGGGCCTTATAACATTTAGTCACTTCCCAAGCCCATTGCGTTTAAAAAATATATCGTACTTTAAAAAAATTGCTATCTCTAACCAGAACCTCATATCGAGACCCTGGCTTGGAGGGGAAAAAAGAATCACCTTTGGATTAAATAAACCTTACAATTTTATATTATTTTATAATATATTTGACAGAGTCATGTATACGAAATTTTGAAAGGGAAATTTTCGAATTATAAAAATTTTCACACCATGCTCTATACTTGCAGCGCAGAATTTGATTTCCTCTCAAAACAAGTTGCAATTTTTTATAATAGTATATTTTTTTCTAAATATAAGGCATAGACCTATATCAATCTTACTCGAACCGCTTTGTTACCCGCAAGCTTAGTTGCTGCATTTCTAAGTTTGATACAAGTAAAAATGATAATTTTTATAGAAATATATATGTACAAGTCAGGGCCATAATTATCAGGGATGGATTTCTGTGAACTTATCAGTTAATTTTTTTATGCTTAGAAAAAAAGGATTTATGTGGACTAAATTATAAATATTTATTAATTAGCAAGGACCCCACAGTATATTTAGGTCCCAGTTCTGACATGCTAGGTTTTGCGTTTTGAGAATCTTATCTCTTATTCAAATATATAATTTTATAAGAATACTTGTCGGTTCTCACCGCAAAAACGCCGAATTTTATATTTCTTCATATTACTATTTAAAAGTTCCAATTTATCTTCCTGTTTTTTTTAAAAAAAAATTATTATAATTTTTGCTTAATCTAAATGATTATTCATTTTATACGATAAAACTATTATTATTAAGTAACTTGTCTATCCTGAAAGTTTTTGAAAAGGTTAGAAGGACGATGACGATTTTGCAGTGAGACCGACGGATTTCATATTAGATTACTATATTTTATAATCGATAATTAATTTAGTGCTTTACTGTTAGCAGTTACAATAAAGGTGACGAATCATCAACTCCCAAACAAACATCTAATAAAAACTTAAAGTAATAAACTGTTTAGAATGCTTAAATTAAAAAAATATATATATAAATTAGAAGCAAATTAGAGCAACTTCTTATTGCGCAAGCAGATCTTCATTTTTATCCAGAGGTTTAAAACATAATATCCATAATATTATATTTAGATTATTATAATTTTTTATTATGTCTAGGCCTCCAAAAACACGAATATCGGATAACGAGATTTATAATTTCTTGATTGATAAGATGTTCGTGAATTAAATAATTACCTACTCGTATTTGTTAATTTCGAATTGATTGTGGGGGCCTAATATAATATAAAACATAATCATATTTCATAAAAAACTTTGCCAATAAGTAGTAGGGATAAAAAAAAGAAGTTTTTTTTTCTGTTTTTTAAAAAAATAATATTATTATTATTTACAATCCAGGAAAATATATTTTTTAAAATTTTATTGCAAATTTTTCATCAATACATGCATCTTTTTGCTGCAAATTTTTTTTGATCTTTCTAATTTAAATTGTGTTATATTAAAAAACAATTATTTATTTTTAAAATGTTTAGAAATTTGTTAAAGTGATATCTAGCTTGATTTTTTATATTTTGTTTTTTAGCTGTTTTTTTACCCTATATTTTTATGCTTGAAAAAAAATGATATAAATGTTTTATTTGTTTTTTTATATCCCTACCGTTAAGTCAAAAGTTTGGAACCTACTCGAAAGTTATGGTCGGTTCTTATTCGGAATATTATTTCGGTTCCTAAACTTGCTCTAACCTAAATAAATTATATAATCTTTTTTTTGAAGGTTTATTTTACAAGTTTCCAGGCCATCATATTTCTTTGCTTGGCTTCCATTATCATGAGATTAAAACTATTGGCCACCCCACATCTATGTCTCCTATCATCCGTTTTAGCTAATCATCAAGTAAACTTATTTTTTAAAAAAAAATTATTGAAGTATGTATTACCTATACTGTCACTTTTGTAAAATTGACTTTTATGTGTTTAAATACACCGATAATTTTAACCAGACTTAAACTTTTAAGATATTAAATTTGTAGGCATTTGGCTATTTTCTTCTTTGCTATTAGAACCCCAGGGTTTAATGTGTCCTTTAAATATTTATGAAATCCAATAATATAGATTTAGTCAATTTAAATCTTGAGATGTAAGACAAAATATATGTGATGTTAAATTACAGAATAATATAACACTTTATTCAATTTTACTTTCCTTTTCCTATAAATTGTAATCATGATATTCTCTTCACCATTGGCTATAACATTAACACCCCGCTATATTTTGTTATTTTATTCTATCCCTCTTTAATAAAAGTGCTAAATTCTTTCTTTTCTTTTTTTTCTCATGAGAGTAGAATAAAGAAAGAAAAAACCAAGCCATTTCTTTTTTTAGCTTTAATATATTAATTTTTTTTTCTGACAATTAAAAATAAAGTATAGCAATATTATTTAACAGATCCTTATTTTATATATATTTTTTTTAAGTTACTAATAGATTTATTACCGAAAAAAATCAAACGCTCAATGTTGACCAAGTTCTTCATAAAGTCTGCCGCGATCGCTTTGTTAGCTATCATGAGTTTGGAAGGGATCAAAAATATTCATAAGGAGCAGTCTCATTTGGGCGAATACATTAATCTTCCACAAGAGGAAATGATTAACTGGATCGTTAGAAATACTGCTGAAGGTTTGGATAAAAAATCATAGAAAGTTGCATGTAATATTTTATAGATCGAGGGCATTTACCTTCATATATATATCCTTTATAGGATAGGTTCCTAAGGGGGTATAATGGGGGAGGGTGTAAATTTAGATATGCTGCTAACTGAAAATATTATCACACGTTAAGATGCTGCAAGAATTTAAAATTTTCCAGTTTATCAAAATTCTTTAAAAAAACTAATTTAAGATTGTATAAGCTGTATGCCAAAATAGGCTTGATATCCCTCCACGGGCCCCTCGTGAGGAACAACAATATTTTTTTATTGTTTAGCTCGCGCTAGAGTCGAAACCCCCTCTTTTCCTACCATATCAGACATGAAAATATTAGCCGACGATATTTGCCGATATTTATTTCAAGCGGCACCGATATCGATTCAGTGTCAATTTTTAAATGGATTTTTTTGCCACTTTTATAAATGGAATAAAAAAATCTATGTATAAATTTTTTTAAAAAGCGTTTTAATTAAAATATTCACTTATCCTCACTCGTAAAAATCAAATAAAGCTTTAAAATTCTAAAAATATGTCTTATCTTAAATTTGTATAAAGGTTTGTATTAATTTATAAGATATATAATAAATTATGTCTTATTTTATTAAGTTATAGCCTTTAATATATAGTTACATAAAAAATTTTTTAATGATCAGAATTTTCACTTATCTATTTTAGGTACAATACAAATGAGTACAATATATTCTTATTAAATTTTATTTGAATAATAAGAATAAGTTGAATATAAATGAAACTATAATATTGGATATTTATCTATCTATAAAAAAATAAGAGCCTCAAGTTAATGTAATAATAAACTTCTCCTATGAGGGCTATCTACATCACCAGCAATATAAAAATCAATTTTTCAATTCAATCAATATCTTTATCTTCTTTAAAACCAAAAATAAAATTTAATAATGATTGGTTTATCAATATATATTTTTAAAAACTAATATGATTGACGTATATATATATATAAATAATATATAAATGCAACATGCCCATCCTTAACGGCCAAGGACATGTAATAAAACAAATTTTTTGTTATAATCTATAATATAATATCTAATTATTGTCTGAACAAAAGAAGAAATGAATTACATTTTTTTGAAAGCAAAAGAGCAAGTATACGCATGCCTTTTTATTGAAGATTCCTTTCTCTACATCACTATAATCCCAAAAGTTACCACGAGGAATTCATCTATCCTGGTTACTACCAATAAAAAGCAGAATGGCCACGAAGTTCGAGAAATAAAAGAAATCCAATGATGAGATCCGACGATGTTTCAAATGTAATTCTACGAGGCATCTAATTTCCGAGTGTAAGATGTATATCGGGACTGATAGATCCACCCTCTTATATATATTAGACCTGTTCTAAAGAATTGGCACCCTCTATATTGGACAGAGGTATGTCTCACGATAAGCTCATATTGACATATTTATCAAGTCCGTTAAAAGTATTGCCGAATGAGGAAATAAGTTGGAGGTTGGTATCAGGAAAAAGGGATGACCAATAACATGAGCGCCCGTAGGCGACTGCCCTAGGAAAACGTAGCTATGGAGACAAATATAATTTTCGGGCGTAATGTGGGAAGTCACAATTATACTTGGAAGATTTGCTATTGAGGGATGAATGAGATGTAGAGGAACGTTGCAAGATATTTTTTAAAAAATAAATATATTCATGTACGTTCCTTTAGAACAATTTTTAGGTCCAGTTTGGAAAATAATTAGATAATATTATACATATTATACCAAATAATGTTGTTAAACGGCTCGATTTTTAAAAATGTCTGGCCTAATATTTTAGCTAAAAAATGTTATATATCGAGATTTCATTAATAGATGTCCAAACCTTTCTGCCATCTATGAGCAAAATCTCTAGGCTTACGTAATATATTGGGTTAGCCGTTTTTTAAAATCAAGCCGTTTAACAACACTAATAACAAAAATTTGTTCTAACTCATTTCCTTGGCCCGTTACGAGTGAGCATATTACAGTTGTTATTTTTTTTGTATATACGTCAATCATAAATTTTGTTTTTAAAAATATATATTGATTACGACGATTCTTTATTAATTTTTGTTCTTAGATAAGGAAATAATGATATTTTTTGAATTGAAAAGATTATTTTTATAACTAGCTATGCTAAAGATTGATTCTGATGTTGTAGGAAATGCCAAATACTTTTTGAGTAACCCTCCAATAATCAAGAGGATCGGAGATAAAATATTGATATCTTTGTTAATTAATGAAATTTAAATTCGCATCATTTTTATTTTCTATAAGTTCTTTCTTAATGAAAACAATGTAATAAATAGTAGACAAATAAAAATACAGAAAAATTTGGGGTAATTTTATTTTTTATATTAGTTTATTATACCTAGTGTTGTTAAACTGCTTAATTTTTAAAATAACCCAATATTTTAGCCAAAAAATGTTATACAAGTCTCGTGATTTCATTAATGTACAAAATATTTTACTTATTAAGTGCTAATGTTTTTTTTTATAAGAAACTAATTGATCTCGGTAGTAAATTGGAAAGTTGTCAACTAAAAGAAAGAACGAAAGGAATTCGCCATGCGAAAAGCGAATTCATCAGGGGCTGAAGATTAGATTGCCATGTTATATTTAATGCTGAGGATTTTATTTCAAAAAATTCATTGATCGATATATATTTAAAATATTGAGTAATAAATAAATATACGATAAAATTTACCCTTTAGAAATATAAGTCAAAATGAGAGATAAAGTCGGCGAGTAAAAGAACCTTATATTCCAACAACCAATATCCAGAAAGGCCGGAGTTTTTTAATGTTCAAAAAAGGAAAATAAAATATAACCTGAAATTATGAGCAACTTTTTGCCAAAGGGTATTATTTTTAACAAATAATGTAAATAATTTTAAATATCAATTTATTTTTTAAAAGTCAAGGGGTTTACATAGATTTTTAGTTGTCAACTTTACCATTTTATTACTGAGATCAATTGGTTTCTTAAAAAAGAAACATTAGCACTTGTAAGTAATATCTAGAGGAAACATAAAAAAAATTTTTATGAAGGCTAATTATCACTTTTGGGATCAAATTAAATTGTAAATATTAATCGATACCTATATCATGAGTATCTGTGCAATTTATATCGATATTACAATTATTTTTATCCACATACTAACTTTAAAAAATATATTATATTTAGACAAAGCCTTCGCGGGACCAATGTCTGTTATGGCTAATATCAAATTATCCGCTGATCGACCTATAATTAATAACCCTTTTTACGAAGATACTAATATGAGGTTTAATAATTAAAATATATAAATATTATATCATACTTCGATTAATTTTTTTTTTACATGATTTCAGAATTAAATATCTGGTTACTACAGCATTATAGGATCTATATTTTAATATTTATCTTTTTTAAAAAAAGAGATTTATTTAAAACGAAGAGGGAAATTTTATTGATACGATTTTGATTCTAATCGAAACCTGGGACCCTAGGAACTAGAACTATTTTTGATCCTCAAGCTGATTCTAGAATTTTTTTTTTCACCAAACGTGGAGTAGATTAAAGCAAAATATGTCACGAATGATAATTTGTTTGCATTATTTGGATCAATAAAAAAAATTAATTATTTTTATAGAAATATTGTTTTTCTATCGCGATAACTTCCATAATGCGACCCCAACAAATTCACCCCCCCCCCCAACTTTATCCTTTTTTATGAAAATTTTTTTTATTACCAAGGAAAATTACCAAAGGAATTTACACGTTGTATAGTCGTAAACCTTTGAAAGTGGTACATGCTCTACTACAAAATATGTCGGCGTACTATGCTGTGGTAGAAGATAATTGGTGCTTCTATCAGAGGTATCAACAATTTTATTAAACAATTAATATTAGGTTTTTTTGATTTTATGGTTAAAAAGGGTTTACAAATTGTCGTATGCAAGTAGGGGAAAAATTATTTTAAAGCTAGGCTAAACAATTCGTGTTTTTACGAGTCCAGCCATAATTTTACATTTTTTTAGAGCTTAGAATTAGGTAATTTTTTTTATCTTTTTCTTTTAAAAATATTACGGGACGAACAACTTGGGCAAAAATATTACGGGACGGACAACTTGGGCAAAAATATTTTATGGGGAAGCCAAAAAATATCATTTCAAATTGCGAATAAAAATAAAATTTGGGGCACGTCAGCCTCTAATTTAAATAATATTCATTATAAATTTTGTGTTATCTGTCTACGTGATATCATTTTAATTTTATTAAAATCTCGTCACTGAAAATGTTGTTTAAATGGCCCGTATCGTAAAGACCGAATATAGTCTAGAGTTTTGTCTATATGACACTAGGGTTATATTATACACTTATCGATCCCAACCTGAGGCTAGGAATAAGTACATTTATTCGTTCCCGTTCTGTTATATATTTTTAAGCAAAACTTCATTTCAGGTCTCTACTCCTTGTCTTCTCTTTTTTATAGGGCATGAACCAAAAAATTGAATTCTTGGTTTTAGGATAGCATTTTTGTTTTCTTTTTGAATATCTAAATTTAAAAAAACAATTTACGAAAATTGATACTAAAATACGTTTTAATGCAGCAAATAATATCAGTATAAAGCAGACAACATTCTGCCATTTTTCAATTCATCATTGTCAATATATTATTTACTTTTTAAATCATAAAATTAAGAAAGAAACTCGATATCTACTAGAAACTATTAATTATATAATATAATGTAATACGATATTTTAATAGAACAAATTTAAATGTTGGTGTACCGCATATTATTAATTTTTAGAACAAACAAATGTCATATTTTTACTTTACCCAGTCATTATATTGGAAATATATCTATTTAATCATTTCCACTTGAGATTTTAGGTTTGATTTTCAAATAATATTTTAGTGTTAAAATCTTTATAATTCCAAACTATCATTAGATTTGTATTTTGTTAATAATCTCTCCCTCCCCCCATCCCATCACTTATGTATATAAAAAATATTATAGTAGTGACGAATGCACCCTGCCTTCTATATGGGACCTAGAGGATGTGAAAAATAGACGCCGGGAACCAGCCTGCATTCTTTTACGGACAAAGAATCACGATAGTAAATACTTTGAAACTGTCTTTGAAAATCGAGAGTGTACTATAGTGAGAGTTAAGCGCTTGAAGAAACTACCGAATATTACGTAAAGAGTAGCCAATCAAAACTGTGTTCATTATAGATTTCAGTGATAATAAATTCAAGTCAAAATTATTAATATGCAATTATATTTAGGGACAGATTATCTGAATATTCTTAAAAACATTTAATATATTCACGACTGATTATTATTCATATTCGATAATATATTTCTAATATTTGTATTTATATATCTATTTTTACCAAATTTTTAATATTTATAAAAAATTTAAAAGATTTAATTAACATAGATTTTTTATATATTTATTATAAAGTAAATTTTTATATGTTAAATGAATTATATTTTATTTATAAAATAGCATATTAAAATTCGTTATCTTTTAAAGAAATTGTAAATATCCATGAAATAAATAATTTTATTAAAAAGTTGTTTTATTTTAATTGAAAGAGTCTTAATGTTATATTTTCACCTATAGAAAATAATCTATTTCACCCGAACTTCACATGAATGAAAAATATCAGTTATAAACTATGGGTTGGTTCAAAGTGAATTCCGCAAAAATAAATTCTGTTCAGGTTCAAAAACTTCAATCAAAAAAGTTACCTGTTTTTTTTTCTCTAGCTTTCACCTTTTCTGGTGGTAAGCTCCTTCAACATCTCTCTCCACTTATGTTATTCATACAATCTCTTTTATCTAATTTATACTTCTTTATATTGGCTCTAACTTTATAGCCCCATTGAAGTTTTGGCCTTCCTCTTTTACGTTTGTCCATCACTTCCAAACTATCAACCTTATTTCCTATGTAGTTCATAGGCCTTCTCATTGTGTGCCCATACCACCTAAGTCTGTTTACCATTAACTAAGTCTTAATGGGCACTACCTTTAAACTACTTAGTATTCTTGTACTGCGCACTTTATCCTTTCTTGTTACCCCAGCAATCATCCTCAGCATTCTCATCTCCATAGTTTATAGACTTCTCTCGTCTGATTCTTTGGTTGGCCATGTTACCGAACTATATAGAATAGTTGGTTGTACTATGGAACTGTAAATTTTTCCCTTTAATTTGTGTGGGATTCTTTTGTCAAATAGCACTCCAGATAAAGATCTCCACTTTAACCACCCTTGATTAATTTTACTCTTTATCTCTTTTTCTATTGTGCCGTTTGTTTGTATAGGAAAGCCCAAATATTTGCAGCTTTCAATTGCCGATATCTGCCATTCATTTATATCAATACTCTCTGTTTCATCTCCTCCTATCACCATATACTCCGTCTTTTCTCTATTTACTTTTAGTCCGTGTAGGATATTTATCCAACTCACTAATCTTTCTTTCATTTCATCCTTGGATTCGGCAAGTATCACAATATCATCTGCAAATATCATATTCCACGGGACTGTTTCAGGTATAGACTGTGCCAATACATCTATTACTGTAATGAAGAGAAGTGGGCTGAGAGCCGACCCTTGATGAACTCCTTCGGCTATTGTGAAGCCTGCTGAAGTACCTGTTGTGCTACGGACCATTGTTGTATGATCCAATATCCTGTATTATTCTTATATATTTTTCGGGAACCTTTTTGTGGCGTAGCGCCCACCAGATAAGTTTTCTTGGGATTCTATCGAAGGCCTTTTCTAGATCGAGAAAGTCCATGTGTAGCTTTTTGTTCTTTTCCCTTATTTTTCACTCATTTGCCTAATTGCGTGGATAGCATCAGTTGTTGATCTTCCAGGCATAAAGCCAAACTGAGTCTCTCCTATTTCGATTATGTCTCTTAATCTTTTTTCTATTATTTTTTCGTATAGTTTTAGACAGTGTGACATTAGTTTTATGCCCCTATAATATTGTGTGGATCCCCTTTATTTTTGAAGATAGGAAGTAGATAGCCTCCATTTTTGGGGAACCTCATCATTTCCAAGTATTTTATTGTACAGATTTGTGAGGAGATGTATTCCATCATCTCCTAGTGCTTTAAGGCTTTCTATTTGAATATCTTCTGGACCCCTAGCTTTGTTGTTTTTCATATGCTTGAGGCATGTGATTATTTCTTGTTCTGTTATAGTTTGTACAAGGTTTTGACACGGGAGTGTTCGTCTAGATGTAGTATGTTGAATTAAAGTTAAGAAGCTCCTGTAAATATTCTTTCCATCTATTCATTATTTCTTTTTCCTTTATTATCAATTTCTCATATTTATTTTTGATTACTTTCGGCTCCGTTTATATCCCTAGAGTTCTTTTCTCGCTGTTTGGCTAATCTGTATATTTTATTTTGCCCTTCTTTGGTATGTAGTTCATCATGCATGTCATCGTATGCCATAGCTTTGGCCCTAGCCACCGCCTTTGTAGCTATTCTCTTGGATTTTTTGTAATTTGTCTTGTTATCTGAGTTTTTGGATTTGAACCATATTTTATATAGGGCTTTTTTCTCCTTTATAGTGGTTTGTACCTCTTCATTCCACCACCATAGTTCTATGTATGATTTGTTGCCTCCCCTTGTCAAGCTTAGTGTCGATTTGGCAGTGTCTATTAATCTGGATGAAAGGTCTGTCCACATTTCTTCACTGACTTGTGCGGAATCTATTGTTTCAATGTTTGCATTGATTGCAAAGGCATCTGTCATTGTTTTTAATTTGCCCCATTTGGTGCATGGTTCCAGTTTTATCTTGTTTTGAGTGGATTTATTTGAGATGTGTAAATCCATGACTAGTAGCTTGTGTTGTGCCGCGATATCTTCTCCTGGGATGACTTTGCAGTCTATTACATATTTTAATCTTCTACGAGAGATAAGCATGTAATCTATCTGTGTTTTCCTTGTACCACTTTCGTATGTTATTAAATGACTGTCTTTTTTCCTATAGTAGGTGTTTGTTAAGGCAACGTCGAAGGCTTGCGCAAATTTTTTCTTTCTCCATATCCAAAACCACCATGATGCCTTTTGTAGCTATCTCTTGCTTTCCCCCACTTACGCATTTAGGTCACCACCAATTATGACTAGGTCATCCTTAGGAATTTCCATTACAGCTTCATCAAGGATAGCTCTAAAGTCATCTTTCTCTTCTTCCTTGCAACCCGTTTGAGGAGCATATACTGAAAGGATGTGTAGTATTGATTGACCAATGCAGAGTTTTATCTTCATTAGTCTATCAAAAATCCTGTTGACATCTACTACTGAGGAGGTTAGATCTTGACTGAGGATGATGCCGACACCGTTCCTATTGCTAGCAATTCCATTATAGTCAATATATACCCATCTCCAATCATCAAAGTCTTCTGTCCCTTCCATTTCGTCTCTTGTATGCACGCTATATCAACTTTTCTCTTGTTCAACATTGATGCCAATTCTCTCGTCTTACCTTTAGGCGTCCCAATATTCAAACTTTCTAATCTTGTCTTCTTTGCTTTGACCTTTACTTTACTTTTCACAGGATGGAGGTCTACACCCTGCGCGTCGCTTAGAGGGAACGCCCTAGCTTTCATATTCATATTTCCATTTGTTTCCTTCATTTTGTTTATTGGACAGGTATCCTTAGTACCCGGCTGTCCAGGCCTGTCGGTGACCGGGGTGTCATCTCTAAGCTCCGAAATTCATCTTACCATATCTCTTTACACATCAGTCATCGAAGAAAAACTTGAAAGTTTTTATGCCCTTACCAGGATTGAACCTGCGTCCTTCTTCGTCCTTCTGTTTCCAAGCATACATTTAACCCATTAGGCCACCCCGGCGATTCAAAAAGTTACCTAATAATTCTATAAAATCTATATTAATATAGGAATCAGTGACGACACTAGGGATGGGTTATTAGGGGCTCTAGCAACATCAAAATTTTAATAGTTCTCAAAAATTTTTAAATTTTTAAAAAAAATTTGACTATGAATATCCATCACACCCCGACAAATTGAGAGTCATGTGACACGTCCCTGTTATGTGATATGATTATACAAATATTGTATTTTTTCATTTATAAATTAAATTTAAATTATATTATCTTAGATAAATTTTAAATAAAAAAGGAATTCAAATTTTAAAAATAATTAAGCATGACAAATTTTAACTTAAAATCATAAGAGATTTAGGAAAAAAATTTCAAAAAACTAATGAAAATAATTTTTTTTAAATAAGTTTTAGGCCTAATTTAAATTTAAAAAAACATTCTGTTTGCCTTTAAAATCGCAATTTGCTTGTTATTTTGCGGAGTCTGACCTATATTAATAAGGTGGATTCAGTTTTATCTTTATATAAAAAAAGAAGAGTTTTAAAAAAATTAACTCATATTCGAATGTGCGCAATGTCTATACGTTAGAATAGGTATACCTAACCAAGTAAGGGTTATTTATTTATTTTTTTAAAATTGAAAATTATAATATTATATAAATACTAGTAGGATTGTTTTACCTTTTTAAAGATGGTTCCTTTGTACTAGTTCCGCCTTTTAGATAAACAGGAGAAGATTATTACCTACCTTTTTTTTATATTAAAGGTTAACTAAGAATTGAATGAACTAATTCTAATTATTTTGTAAGTGATCTTTATAACAAAAAAAAGTTTATTTCTTCGATTTTAAATTAATATATATATTTTTTTAAAGTTAGTTTTAAAAAAAAATACAAACTTTCTCTTGTGCAAGAAGATAGTAAAGCACATTTAATTTTCCAATTAAATCTAATTTTTTTAAAAAAATTTTTTATTTCCACAATCAAAGTTTTGAAGATTTTTTTAATAAGGGGGGGGGATGAGGGGAGTTAATGACGTGTAAGGTTTATAATCTTTAGATCAACAAATCATATTCAATAACAGAATGTGGGGTTTATAAATTCTTATGCTGAATAAACGTATTCCGATTTTTTTCCTTCTCTCTCCAAACAATTACAATTTATTGTATATTAAAGTTATCGCAAACTCGACGGGGCAAGAAAATTTCATTAACTTCTCAAATTTTTTATTTATATCTCACCCGACATAATTAAAGGTAATCGAGTTAGCCTATAGAACTATGCTAGTTCAGCTGCGCATGGCTGTGAAAAAATCTGTACCATAGGTTTGATACTTATTTTGGAATAAAAAATTTTTAAAATAATAAAACACCAAATTATGAATAAAACGCGTTATATTTTTTTTGTTGCTTTTATTTTCTTTTTTTTTAAAAAGGTAACTAATTAATAACGTCACTAATTTTCCGTGCAGTTATAAATAAACAGTTTATATTAAATATTGCCGAGTATGAAAATTTTAAAAAAAAAATAAATAATTTGCTAACTGACTGCCAATTATTTTTTTAAAATGCAATAAAATCTATTTTTTTTAAATATATATAT